TCAGGCAAGGTGGCTCACGCCTGTGGTCCCAGTACTTTGGGAGGCCGAGGCGGGCGGATCACAAGGTCAGGAGATTGAGACCATCCTGGCTGACATGGTGAAACCCTGTCTCTTTAAAAAATAAATAAATAAATAAATAAATAAAGAATGGAGAAGGAGGCTGGAACGGTGGCATGCGCTTGTGAATCTAGCACTCTGGGAGGCTGAGGCAGATGGATTGCCTGAGCTCAGGAGTTTGAGACCAGCCTGGGCAACATGGTGAAACCCTGTCTGTATTAAAATACAAAAAATTAGCCAGGTGTGGTATCAGATGCCTGTAATTGCAGCTACTAGGGAGGCTGAGGCACGAGAATCACGTGAACCTGGGAAGCAGAGGTTGCAGTGAGCCGAGGTCACACTGCTACTGCACTCAAGTCTGGGTAACAATGTGAGACTCTGTATTCCCCTGCAAAAAAAAAAAAAAAAAAACGAGAATGGATAGAGTAGAGCTGAGAAGAGACGGCAAGAACAAAGGCACAGAAGTACGCAGAGTTTGGGGGAATTCTGAGGAACGGTCTTGCAAAAGAGTGGGATCTGGGAGAATGAGCGGGAGCTGAAGGCAGATGAATGAAGAGGAGGTGAGCCCATCAGGGTAACAGGGACGCGTTGTGAACAAATATATGTTCTAGAAAGAGCCCTCTGGAGTGCTACGTGCCAGATTGGTGGGAGGAGGGATACTGGAAGCAGAGAAACCAGTGAGGGGCCTGATCTTGGGTGGTGGCGGATGTGGGGAACGAGGGTTAGGGGAGGCCAGGATGGAAACCAGGTTTCAGCTCAGCAGGTGGTGGTGGCATTGATGGAGATGAGGACTTGGGAAGGACAAGGTCTAGGTGTCTTTGGGGAAAGACAGGAAGACAAACATCCAGGTCCCTGTCCTCACACCAGCTGCCTCTTCCTTTCTCCCTGGCACAGCCATGTTGGAACCAGCCACTACGACCCTGCCTCAGATCCAAGTCCCAGAGACCATCAGTGTCACACTGCAGGTGCTCAGCCTCTTGCGGCCGTACAGACAAGCCATCCCTGTCCTTGCCGGCTCCTCCCTGGAAGATGTCTTGAAGAAGGCCCATGAGTTAGGAGGATTCACGTGAGACTCCCATCTCCCAGCGCTCACCCCACCCAACCCCACATGCAAGATACAGGGTCACGGAAGAGATGGGACAGAGGAGAGGGTTCCCTCGGGAGAGACACTCACCCTGCTTCCACTTCCACCTGCTCCGCTCCTTTCTTGCTCACCATGTTATGGAAACAGAAAGCCATAGGCCAGCATTATCATTGAGGGAGCAGGCTCTGGAGGCAGCTCTAACCAGCTGGGTTCCAGGTAGGCACCCACAGTTCACCAAGGAGAACAGTTGTGCCCCATCCCTGCAGGTCCAGTGTGAGGAGTTGAGGAGTTAGTACACATAGAAATGGTGGCACGTGCTTTTTATATGTGCAAGGTCAGCACATAGCAAGC